ATTCGAGAGATAAATCACAACATACTTATATAGAGTAGAGAGATTAGACCCTAGAGAAGAGTTTAGCTACACATGATGGTAATCTTAACTACAAAAGCAATGAAATACAAAAACTCCAACATGTTTAAAACCAGAAAGGATAGAAAACAGAGGAAGATATGAATCAGGAAATGTGGCTTAGTTCTGCTGACTTCTAGAAAGCCAGCTTCTCACTTCACCAAGTGACACGCCGGAAACTACATCATACTGATGCTCTGGTTTTTTTGTTATTTATTTATTTGTTTATACTCAATTAGAAATATGATCAAGTTACTTTATAGTATTTCAAAGTAGCCATGAAGATGCATACAACAAGATAACCATTTGCTAAGTCTGGCAAAGATGTGAACATTATCATCCCTTCTTGATCACTATGTTTTGCTGTGAAGTAGAATATAGGAATAAACATGAATTAGATTGTACTACTGCCATGAACATTGATACCAAAACTATAGGGTACATGTTAACAAAATGCCGACAGCTATATGTTAGTATCAAATGTTAATCCATTTGGCATTTTCTATATAATGGTGTTTATATTATAATCAACTAAACTTGTTGACTTATGCACAAGTCATGTTTAGTTACACATATAGGACTGGCCATTCTTTATGTTGATATGAAAAAGCATTGTTCTTGCCTTGTACTATGAATTGAATCATTTGGTGAGTTTGTGTTTTGGTTGTTGCTACATGGATGATGTTATGTTATGATTTAGTTCAGCCCCCCTCTCTCTCTCTCTCTCTCTCTCTCTCTCTCTCTCTCTCTCTCTCTCTCTCTCTCTCTCTCTCTCTCTCTCTCTCTCTCTCTCTCTCTCTCTCTCTCTCTCTCTCTCTCTCTCTCTCTCTCTCTCTCTCTCTCTCTGGTAACTAGGTGCATATTTTCCAGAATGACTATGTATGTAATGGTTGCTGATACAATGAAACATTGGTTTGTTAGGACTGCAGGCATATGCACATCATTTTATATAGTAGTCAATGCTCATTGTTCTTCTCTAGTGGATACAAGTCATATGTCAACTAAAGAAAAGTTACTTTTAAGTAGTCATTTTGGTTTATTAATCTGCAGGGTTTTCTATTTTGGTCCCTTTGCAAATTCATCTACCATATTACAATACAATATGTGAGCCACCTTTTTACTGATTATTGTTGGATTTCCTTTATATCATTTACTCCATTAGACTAAGCCAAAGGTAAACCAGAACCCGGTAGATGCAAGGTATGTCAATCCATTTAACTTTGGAGAAGATACTCATGGAAAGGTATGTCAACCTATCTTCTTCTTGTTCAAATTTGTGTTTGTATGTTTGATATATTGTGTACATTTGAGGAATGGAAGCTAACTATATTTGTTTTCTATAAATTTAACTAGTGTGCATAAATCTTTCTTACATGCTTATATGAATGTTACCTTCTGATTTCTAAGGTCTATTTCGTTTAATGCCCCCTTAGGAGACTTGCGATAGTTTTAGGATGCATGATTGCACATTTTCACATCCTTATAATGTTAATCATTTCCTACTTCATGGAAACATTAAATCTTTTAATTTTCCATTTTGTCATATGGATATCATAGGGACTGTAAGTGGCAATAATGATACCTTAAAACATGTATAGTATGTTTGCTAAGAGAAACATATATTACTTATTAGTTACTGTCATATGTTTATTTAGAGGGACTTGATGCTTCTGTACGACCTAAAAATGTTGGATTTTGTCACTGGTCATTATCTAGTTGGCTAAAACTTCTTTGTTTTATATATGGAGCCAATTTTGTCGAGAATGTTACTTTTCTAGTAAATGGAAATAGAATTGTGCAATTATATCATTGTTCCAGTTTGACAGCTACATTGTCCTGAAGTTTTGAGAGTAATTATACAAGGCACCTCCATTTTGATTGCGGTTCATCAGACTCCTTAAAATAACTTTACGTTTTCATTTAAGAAATCCAAGGTGGTATCTAGCGGGAGGGCCCCGATTTTATCAATATAGGAAAAAGAAAAAGTTACAAAAGACAGTGTTTAAAACTTACCCAAAGTAAAAGAAACCGTATTACAAAAATTTCCTAAAAATAACTACACGTTTAGCTGTGTCATCAATCTCATATTCTCATTGTTCATCAAGCCAAAAGTAAGCATTCTTGGATGTCTTATCACCCACTGTGAACTTGAGGAATGGATTTTGTCCCTAACGTTTGAGTTCTTGTTGTCTTCTACCGCTTATACTCAGAGAGGAAGTTTTCTCAGAAAGCTTTTGCCTTCAACGATCTGAAACATTTAGAGCTGTTTACACGGTATTTGACAGATGATATTCTTGGCCTTAGAAATGTCCATGGCTTCTGACTCCTTGTTCTTGTCTATTCCTGTCAGTCACGTCTTGATGTGAGTATGTTAAGCCTTATTTGTTTGCTTGAATTTTCTTTTAACGTTCCACATTATAGTCCCGTTTTTGGATGCTGAGATGTTGGTCATGTCTGATTTCCAGGATAATTTGGGAGAAGAAGTATCGGGTAGGTCAATTGCTTTCCATAACCCTCAACTTAAGTTAGCCGCGATGGAGGAGTGAGTACAGGAGATCTGATCTCTTGGAGGATCATGGGGTTGTTTTGGAAAAGATTGTTGCATTTCCTGAAAGATGGTACATCATGCTCCCCGTTTATTTATATTCTCTATTTGATCCCATCTGAGACATGATAAATTGAGCTTAGAAATCTACTATGGGCTGTGAGATATTCATTTAAGTTTTTATTATCTTTGTCAAACAAACTTAGGACATAGATGCAACATTGCAAATGCTACGATTCTTGAATCTTAAGGAACAGTTTCCCTGTCTTTCTCATTAACCTCATTTGCATCATTCAATCATCATGATTTAGAACTCGAGTAAAATATTGAAATGGTCCCTTACATTTGCCTTTACTTGAATTTATGTCCCTTACATTAACATTTCAATATCGTAGTTCCAAACATTATGTGTTCAAATTTTTTTGGTCCCATTTTACTGTTTCGACCACATTTCCATCCAACTCGATGTTGACCGGCCGTTGACTTGCCGGGGTCAGGGGTATTTTCGTCCTTTCATGTAATTTGACCTTCCATTAAATTAAAATCATTAAAAATATTAAAATAGTCATATTTTAAATTATTTAAATAGTATTTATTATTATTATAATATTTTAAAATTTATATTTTTTAAAAAATAGTTTTTTCATTTACCATTTATCTTGGATGAAAAGTAAACAGTAATTTTTCTACATTTTAACCCCGGACTCACAGTAAATTTACAATTTTACCGAACTACAGTGAAAAATTTAAATTTCAAATTTTAAAAAAAATTAAATTATGAAAAGTAAACAGTAATTATTCTACATTTTACCTTGGATCCACAGTAAATTTATAATTTTACCGAACTACAGTGAAAAATTTAAATTTCAAATTTAAAAAAAATAAAAAAAAATTATAGCCCGGTAAAAAAATAAATTTACAATTTTACCGGGCTACAATAAATTTTTTTTTTATTTTCTTTAAATTTGAAATTTAAATTTTTCACTGTAGCCCGGTAAAATTATAAATTTACTGTTTTAATTTAATTTTTTTTTAATTTTTTTTTTTAAATTGGAAACTTGAATTTTTCAAATTAACTACATTGCTCATTCCTCTACAATGAAAAATTTACAATTTACAATTTACAATAAAAATTTAAATTAAAACAGTAAATTTAAATAAAACAATAAATTTACAATTTTACCGGACTATAGTGGAAAATTTAAATTTCAAATTTTAAAAAAAAATTACTGTAGCCCGGTAAAATTGTAAATTTTTTTATACCGGGCTACAATTATTTTTATTTTTTTAAAAAATTTGAAATTTAAATTTTTCACTGTAATCCGGTAAAATTATAAATTTATTGTGGGCCCGGGGTTAAAATGTAGAATAATTACTGTTTCCTTTTGATAATTTAAAATTTTTTAAATTTTTTTTTAAATTTAAAATTTAAAATTTTCACTGTAGTCCGCTAAAATTATAAATTTACTGTGAGTCCGGGATTAAAATGTAGAATAATTACTGTTTACTTTTCACCTAAGATAAATGATAAATGAAAAAACTATTTTTTAAAAAATATAAATTTTAAAATATTATAATAATATTTTAAATTAGTAAATACTATTTAAATAATTTAAAATATGACTTTTTAAATATTTTTACTGATTTTAATTTGATGGAAGGTCAAATTACGTGAAAGGATAAAAATAACCCTGACCCCGGCAAGTCAACGGCCGGTCAACATCGACTTGGTGCTTTTTTTATGGAATTAATGCAATGATCAGGCACAATCAAGCACTCTGCATTTCACACAAATATTGATCAATGCATTTCATCCCAATAAATCTTGAGCAAAACCCAACAATCTTCAAGATTGAAAAAAAGGATATCATTACATCCCTAAGAAAGAAAAGAAAAAAAAAAAAAGAAATGAAAGCACAAAGCATCAAACAGCATTTTCGAGTATAAGCTCCACTTGAAAGACCTTTTTAGATCAGTATAAGAAAAGATGTCAATAGAACAATAAAACAGCATTTTTTGAATTTGTGAGTTAAAAGATTGAAAAAGAAAAAAAAAAAAAGAAAAAAAGAAACGTTGATGGCAAAATTTATCCGTTAGTTAATGCAAGCATTTCTATGCAGCAATCACGAGACATGATTGGACAAGAAAATTGATTCACACTAAAGGGGAAAAAAAAATGAAATCACCTAGCATCAAAATCCAAATTTGCAAAAATTAAAAATGTGAATATTTTTAATAGAAAAATTTATCATAATTTTTTTTTATCAAACAATAAAAATAAAAAGATTAGACTGATTAGTTAAGAAGAATAAATTGCCAGGAAGAAAATAGTAACACTAACCACACTAAATAAATTGCGAGAATTAATGGTAAAAAAAATAAATAAATAGTAAAACAAATATTCAGTCGTACCTAGAAGTCCAAGAACTCTATTAACCAACACTAACCACCATTCTGTACTCTCCCTTATTCTTCAAATTACATTTCCTTCCGATCAAAAATTTCAGTCTTCATTTTCTCAAATCTATCTTGAATTTAATTCCGAATTCACGTCATTCATGGCTTCCAATGGAGCTCCTGTGGTAAGTTCCTCGGATAAACCCTACCCTAATTGAACTGTTAATTATTCCTGAAAGCGTCAGTTTCTAGGCCCCGTTCGGTGAGTAATTGGAATTGATTTTTTTTCTTTTCTGCACTGAATTGTGTGCAGGCCGATGGCGATACGAAGACGAGCTTGGAGAAGATCAAACGGCAGCTGGCGTCTGGTTCTGGTCGGAATTTACTTCAAGGGCCTCTGCTGAAACGATCGGAAACGGTACTGATTAGAATAGAGCAAATTGATTTCCTTTTTCCTTTTTCTTTTCTTGTTCGAAAAAAAGAAAATTAGTAGTGAAGCTATTATTTTTAATTTTAATCGCTTTAAATATGCTGATTATATAGCTGTTGATAATGAAATGTTCGTTTATTTGACCATCTGGTTACTGGGCTCTCCTTTGATTCTTACAATACTTCCCTGTTTCTTTCTTTCCTTTTAAAGTTGCAATCAAAGTGGGGTTGCTGGAAAGTTGATAGTGGTGGAAGTCAGATCACTGTATTGATTTCTGCTCTTAAATTTATGTTGGATAGGATCATGATTGGCTTCTATCTTGAATTTATCGAACTTTAGTTTGTTCTGTAGGTATATTATTGGCCACTGACCAAATTATTTTTGGAATTAGCTTACTTTGGCTCGTCCCATCGAATTAATTACAAAGGCCAATTGTCACTGTGATGAGTTTTTTGGAATTTGATTGTTCAGAAATAAAATTGGGAATGCGCAGTAATGAATTTAAGGAAACTGCCTTGGAACTTAAAGTTGGGGCTTCGGAGAGGAATTGTAGTCATCCTGTGTTTATGATTACTTTTCAATATTTTTCTCAACTCCAGGATTCTTTGTATATGAGGTCGTTGAAATCCTTTCCAGGTAACTGGGGAATCCATTCCCATAATTAGGTTTTGACATCCTTTTCTTAGGTAACTGGGAGGATGACACTACTCAAATAAATTTTTTTGATAATTAACTGCTACTGTGTGTGAGACTAGGTAGCAAAAGGTAAGAGAACTGGTTGTTCTTCTGGATTATATTCAAATTGAATTCATTGTTTCTAGAAAACTCGTCATGTTTTAAGTGTTCTTTCTGATGTTATGTTTAATGCTTCTACCGTTAAATAAACAACTGATTGGACGACTTGAGCTTTTTTTAAGTCTGATTTTATGCTATCTGTATTGCCTCTATTTGTGAAACACCTTGACATACATCATTGGTTCAGAATAGCATCTCTCTTCATGGTAGTTACAAACTTGTGATGGGAGTAAAAATCAACTCTCTTTTCAACTCTCTTTGTTATGATTTGTGGCTCTTCAAGGTCATTTCGTTGGTGTATCTGAAAAGTGTTTCTTTACAAGCTTGGAAAACCTGTATGGGTCTGGGTTTTGTCATCTTCCGAAAGTTGTGCTTCATCGACTTTACCAGGCGGATTAGCTTTTGCAACCGTTGCATTTGTTGAACCTATAACAGATTGAGACAGCTTAAGGGTTGAGGTTACCATGTGATTATTCAATAAACATCAAACACCTTGTTTGAGCATCATGGTCATTTATGCTAGGCTATGCACAGAATGGGAGTTTTATGGCTACTGGGTCCACAAAATTGTATAAATTTCACTGTTTTCTGAGCATTTGAAGTCTCTATCATTGATGCTGAATAGCATCATTTTTATGGTAGGTGCGGATGAACTTAGCCTATTAGGGAAAGCCATTTGTCTTTGTTCTATTGTTGTTTTGATTGTCCATTCCATTGTGATACGTGGTCTTTAATATGGTCGATTTCCTTGTTGTAAGAGAAGTCTAACAAATTTGGGAAACCTGTATTGGTTTGGGTTTCTTAATCTTCCAGAAATTGTTGATTCAGTAGAGTAGGTTGTGCTACCCTTCCATTTGTTGAAACATAATAATTTAAACAGGTGATGACATATTTATTCAAGGAGTGAATCCCGTAGCTGTTACTGGTACGTTTTGTTTGTTCCCTTACTAAAACAATTCCAAGATTTGTGGCGATACTAAAAGAGTGCAGAAATGATATAATACAAGGGTATATATAGGGGAATATTTCCTTCTTTTTTTTTTTTTGATTGCTACCAGTGTCCTCAAAATTGTGTAAATGTTACTGTTTTCTTGAATTTTAAAGTCTCTATTCATGCTAAATATTGTCGATCTTTTTCCTACTTTTCTTTATACTTCATATAAGAAACAAGAAAGCCTATAAAATGACATTTTGACAATCAGGAATAACCTTTTCTCAGATTAGTACAAGCCAAAACATAATGCCAAATGCTATTGAAAAGTTGAGAACACTTTAAGCAGGTTTAAGTGTTTTGAAATCAAAATTTCTACAAAGAACTGTTCAATGTTTTTCGTTTGTGTTATGGTTGAATCATATTTTGGGGTAGTTTATTAGTTCCAAAATGTGTAAGATGGAGTGCACATTTTACGGCAGATTGTGGAGAATCTTAGGATGGCGATAGCAAAGTTGGGATTGTATGTTTGACGTCAGCCTTGAATCGTGGTGCTGTCTTAATGGAGCCACCATGAGTGACTCTTTATGTTTCTTTATTTTCTATTATTTTTCTATTCTTTGGGCTTTTTGAAAAGGAGAAAAATCTAATGAGCATCTCCTGAAAGTGATTCTTTGAGAACCTCAAACTAGGAGAAAAGCATGTAAGCTTATTCTGTTTTTTATGCGGTGCTTTCCTTTATTGGGCACGCACAAACGTATAGAGTTGAAGCAGAAATTAGTTAAAAAATGGGAAGAAACACTAATCATTTGTAATTTGTATTCTGTAAAATCAATTTATTCATTGATGTTTTCAATGCTAACAAGTTAACCCTTTTTGGGGAGAAAGATAAAAAATACTTTTTGATTCCTTGCTGTGAAAAAAACAATCCCTTCATATTTTTTGGTCATTCGCAATCCTATGTGAGTTCAAAACCATTCAACATGAGAATGCATAATTTCCTAATGATTAGATAGATGAGACCTTGATTGATGGATGATAGAGGTTTGAATTGACTGTGGCCATATTTATAATTTCGTACTACTAAGTTGTCATAATGCATAATGGTGTTCATTTGGTTTACAAGCTGAGATGGATATCTTCTATTTTGTGTAGCTAAGGAAATGGAATGAACGATGGGTAATTTTAGACCCTACAACTGGGAAAATGGAGTATAAGTAAGCTTCCTCGTCGAATTATTTATTTGATTACTGTTATTGTTTGTTTCTTATAAATCTCATTTGGCTATTTGTTCTTACAACCTGGACACCTTCAGGATTCGGAGAAACGAGCCTGCTGTCAAGGGGACCATTGTATTTGATGCAAATAGCACAATAACCATTTCTCCTGTGAACTTCCAGTAAGACAAACATTATCAGTTTCTCTTGGAAGTTTCTGTTAAGATTTTTATTTATAGATCCTTGTAAGATTGAGATTCTGTTTAGTGACTGCTTAATCTTTTGTGTTTGCAGAGGACTACCAAAGTATGACGGTTGTTGTTTCTGTATCCTTCTTCGTTGAAGTGCATATTCCTTTGTTTCTTTTCTTCTCCTTTTCTCATCTGGATAGCAAGAAAAGGGGTTCAAAAAGTGGGTAGAGGCGGTACTATAGTCTCATACAAGTTATTATTTTTTTCTGTATTCTTAACTGTTCTGCTAAGATATTGGGACACCCCAGAAAAAGGATTATTTCCTTTGTGCAGAAACTCCTGGTGCTGCTAGAGCTTGGGTATCCACACTACAGTGAGTTATTCGTTCTTTGATATTTTGTTTTCCTCGATGATTTATTCACTGTGCAGTAACTCTGCAATTTATCTGGTTATCACAAATAATTCTTGACGTTGAACTAAAATACCTACTGATGAATGTCAAAAGAATCAATCAGTATCACTTGCAACACAACTGCAAGGTGTTTATTTTAAACCTGATTGAAGATTTTTATGAGCTCTCTCTGATGTAGATTGCGGGCTTTTTTTCTCTTAAGACTTATTTTCAGTGGTGGATCATATAAGTTATTTCATATTCCTTTTGCTGATGAGGAAATTAAGTCTGTTAAACCCTAATTTATTATTATTATTGTTGTTGTTGTTGTTGTTGTTGTTGTTGTTTGTTGTTGTTTAACCTAAGTATCTGATTATGCGGAGGAAAGGATTCATCAGTGGTCTATTAATTTTGGTCAAAGCTGAAGCGTTTTCCTTTCTTTCTTTCTTTTTGAAATACATAAGACAAGATTGTCATGTACTTAATTTTTTCTTTTGTTCTTTTGCATTTGTGGCCATACTAAAATCAGGGCGACACAACTGGTTTTAAGGGCTCATAAAGAGGCTGTCAATTCTTTAAGTGGGAATGGGTCTACAAAACTAGGTACAGTTGCCACAGTAGTTGCTGCTGCTAATTCAACGGCTGCGGAGGCCTCTAAAGAAATTGAAGCTGCAATGCAGATTGCTATGAGAAATGCTCTTGGAAACATGTTAAACAAGGCCCCTGATGGTCCCATGGATGATTTATCAATTATGAAAGTGAGTGTGGTTTACCTGCTTTCATGATTGTAAGCAGCATTAGTTGAGAAAAATGCATATAAACTGTCTCATCTTGTTTCCTCAAATTTTGTGCTAAGCAAATACTAATTCTTGAGAAAGTGACTAGTGAAGGAGTATTTCTTTTGTGTTGAGTTTAAAGTGGCATCAAAGTACACATCTGGGGATATACCTGAACCTTGTTAATGTTGTGTGCCTAGCAGTATGTGATATTAAGTTTTGTTCTGAAAAAATAATTTCAATTTTAGCTAACATGCACTTGTAGAAGACTATAAGTAATACGCTCTTTCATGTCGCAGGAGACTCTACGAGTGAAGGATGAAGAGCTTCAGAATTTGGCTCGGGATATTCGCGCTAGAGATTCAACAATAAAAGAATTAGCAGAAAAACTTTCTGAAACGGCTGGGGCTGCTGAAGCTGCTGCATCTGCAGCCCACACCATGGATGAGCAAAGAAGAATTGCTTGCAATCAAGTTGAGCGCCTGACAAGAGATTTGGAGAAACAACAAGAGTTGTTTCTGTTGAAGGTGCTGTGCTTTTCTTTTTGGTCCATTACCTGTATTGTCTTCCTGCACTTCTCATTTTGTTCACGTGTTAGCAGTGTTATCCTATCAAAATGTTTTGTGTTGAAGGGCCTCTCATTTGATTACTTGGTTTTTTAGGCTAAAGAGTTAGAAGAAAGGGCTACAATTCTCAGCAAGGAAAAAGAACAACTTGTAAAGCAAAGAGACTCAGCAATGCAGGAAGCACATTTATGGCGTACTGAGCTTGCAAAAGCTAGAGAGCGTGTTGTAATATTGGAAGGGGCTGTTGTGCGAGCTGAGGAAAGGGTTAGAGTTGCAGAAGCTGATGCTGAAGCTAGAATAAAAGCAGCAGCTGAGAAAGAGGCAGCTGCCGCTAAAGAAAATCAAGAATTGCTGGCATATGTCAATGTGTTACAAGAACAACTAAAGAGGTAAATTTCACATCTGTCCTATTATCGCCTTATCTGTAAGTTTGTAAATACGATGGCAGACACATAGTTGGTTTCTTTGCTAGACATGCTGAGTATGTCAGCCTTGTTTGCCAATCTTTCGTCATGCTTACTCTTGATTAATTTGAGATAGTAATTATAGAATGAGGGGAAACTGATGTTTAAATCAGTAACAAATTTATCCATGAAATTAAAATAAGTGGAATACCTCGAGTCCTACTATGATCCAGCTTTTGAAAGTATACTGGAGAGTTAAATTACTATTTTCTTATGTGACTGAGAATAGCGAATACCTCATATCAATCAGATTTCAAATTTCCCATCAAAAGAGGAATCTGTGAGACTGAAACATGCCATAGCAAATACATCTTATCAACCTATTTTCAACCTATCTTAGCAAATACATCTTATCAACCTATTTTCAAATTTTCATTCAAAATAGCAGTCTTAGAGACGGACATGTTTAAGAAAAAGTTAATTTGGACCATTTTGTAGAACATAATGTACATGCATGGGTTGCTGTTTCATGTGGTTTTACATCCACCTGCATTGTCTTGGGGTGCCTTTTTTTTTTTTTTTTTTTTGGGTAAAAACTGTAAGCTGGTATATATTATTTGTAAACAGTTAAGTACAAGGCTTCTACCAAAAATTACCCTATTTACATTCTATTTACATTTCAAAAAAAACACCACATTTGATCACTCAATCTACATTAGACTGTTTATGAATTTGCTCTCCTTCACCAATCGTTTCCTGCTTCTGCACTGCTTAATCCTGGTTCTGACCATCTGCTGAATTTCACTGAATACCATATCCACACTCCTTGTCTGATTTCTGAACAGTCTGTTGTTCCTTTCCTCCCATATGCCATAGATACAAGCAACCAAAGCTGCAAATAAACTCTTTCTTCTAAGTCGGTTTCCCTTCCATATTTGCAGAATCTGTTTTTGCCATCTTTTCATTTCCACAGACAGTGTTCTAACACTCAGCCACTGTTTAACTCTCCCCAGCAGATCACCTGAGTAAGGGCACTGAAAAAACAAATGCTGAATTGTTTCCAGCTGACCAGTGCATAAACAGCATCCAGCATCTGGAACTGGAATGTTGTATTGTAACAGTCTATCCCTGGTCCATATTTGACCTTTCCACACAAGCCAAGCTATGAAAGCATGCTTGGGTACATTTAATCCAGACCAGATTACAGTAGCACCAGGCAGTTTACATCCTTCCCCTTGTAGCCACTTATATCCTGATTTTACTGTATAGACTCCCTTTCTGTTTCCTTTCCATTTAGCATTGTCAAAACCCTCCTTAGCTCTTTCTCTCACTTTCAGAATCTGTTTCCCGGACCAGCTACTGTCAGGCTTGTACTGGATTTCCCAAATGCTCTTCCTTTTTGAATACACTTCATGAACCCATTTCCTGTTTGGGTAAATATGCATTTCCTGTTTTGCAGGCAGCAGGTTGACACCAAACAAGTATTTGAGGAGAAGTCCGAATCCTCTTCCGATACTAGTAGCAGTGTTACTCTGACCAAACATGTGGATCCTTCAGATGAGAATGTGGATAAAGCATGTCTAAGCGTTTCAAAAGCAATACCAATGAATGGAGAAAGTGTAGTCCATCTTTCTGTGGACTCTACCAATATCCGGCCGATGGGAGACGGTGAATGGAACGACATTCAAACAACAGAAGCGCAGATAGCTGATGTAAGAGAGGTTGCACTCGAAAGGGAAGGGAGTAGTCATGACATACCAGTTGTCACTCTACCCGTAGATTCTGAACACGCTCAAGCAGTGAACTCTTCTCATCAGCCTTAGAATAGAGTTCCAAAAGTATGAGTCTATAAGATAATTTGAATCAATCAAACGGACTGAAAAATGTATGATAGCTTAAAAGTATGTGAGTGGAAGTTTTCTTTTTAATCCCTTCCAGTCTCTAGTTTTTTGTCATAGGTATATTGTTTGATACCTCTCATTGGCGGATTTAGGACTAGTGAGCTTTTACAATGTTCATTAACAAGTATTTTATGAGTGTTGCCTTCAAAGTGTGCTTGATTTTTGCTGTGACAATTGTATGCAAACATTCACTTGACTTTGTAAATGGACGCAATTTATTCTTTGATTGTCAACTTCTCCGATTTAAAATAATTATCCAGTTTATTGAACTAAAACGGGAAAATATTTTGGAACAGCAGGGATATATCTCATGTCAAATCTTGAAACATATTATACGTAAACAAAAAGAAAATTACAGAAAGAAAAAAAGAAAAGGTTCAACTATCTACATAATTAAATACATTAAGAAAACTAACCCATCTATTATTATTGATTAACAACTATTACAAGTATGATAGAGGCCAGAAGATGATATGTAATTATCTTGAATTAGCTATAATACCCAAACATGATAGTTGGATAACTTGGATTAGTGACTTTTGATGAGTCGACAACAGAGGTGAGTTCATCCCATTTGGCATCTCTGAAGAATTCAAGATAATCACCACCACCACCCCCACCACCACCATTTTGAACATTCCAGAAATTCGAATTCGAGGACGATGAATATGAAGATTGATGATCTACTGATATTGATGATATTTGGGGAAGACGACCCAAATCTTGAAAATTTATGCATCTAACGTTATCATTAGTACTGTTGTTTTCAGCCTCCAGCCTGTCCTTCATCATGCTGCAAGTTTTCTTCAGCTGTGGTTTAAAGTTGTTGTTTATTGGTGAATTCCTCTTGAAAATTCTGCAAACAGTCCAATCTTCTTCCTGGAAATTTTTTAATACCAAAAAATGAAAGCTACATCATAAACATACACTTCATACGTTCCCAGAGAAATATAATTCATTTCGTTGAACTAAAACTGTACAATAAAATAAAATAATTTTTTTTTGAAAGCCGGCAATACCGCTCATGTTTGCTCTGACAATAACATCAATGTTAACATCACCTTGTATTAAATGGTAAGCAAATTGAACCGTGATTTTTACCAAGAGAAATAGATGAGAGAGAACTTACAGCTTCTTGAGGATGAGTGTTCTTCCAGTTTGGTGGGAGACGAAATTCATGCATCATCCAGTTGGTTTTGGTTCCTTTTCCGGCTTTTCCCGTGTAATAAACCAAGGATTTCTTGAGGCCAATTATGCACTCATTGTTGTTAATGGTGGTTGAATTTGAATATATGTTCTTGTCAATTCCAGTTGCCTTCCAAAATCCAGAAGCAGTAACTCGATTTGGTCTTACACTGTTCCTATACTTTCTTTCCCTCAAGCAGAAGACATAATATTCTTTCATTTCTCCCGCGCTGCTTACCTCTGTGAATTATATAATTTGAGGTTCAATGGCAGATTTTACGATACCAAATGGTTTTCATCCAAAAATGAATGTCGTTTCTATTATATTATTCTAATTATAACAAACAAAACAATTATCTTTTGACAAAAAAGAATATGAAAACTTTTGCTAAAATGTACTATAGTCATAAATGTAACACCAACCATAATGTTAACTGAGTTTCATTTCAATAATCAATGAGCTTTGCACTTTAAAATAACTTCAGTTTTTGAAGTTAAAATTAGCCACATCGAAAGCTTTAGTTGATATACAATCATTTTTTATATTAAAAAAATAGATGTTTCATTTATCGCTGAAATTATTCAAAAGTAAAATATCGTAGAAAGCGCCAAGACATTGCATGCATGATGATATTTGGTGCACCATTAACTCCAACTTTCAAGGCCAAGTCTGAAGATGCATTTTCACAAGCATTATTACTTTCGGCAACTAAATATGAACTAGAATATATACTTCCTCCTAAACAAAAATAAATAAATAAAAAGAGTTTATATTTCTTACACTCTCTGTTTTCAGTTTTAATATTCTATTTTTTCTATTCCTTTAGTCTAATAAAGTACTCATGTGGACGGTTAAAATGAGAAGAAATTTAATGTAAATTAAGTTTTAAACGTTGTTTCTTTTTTTCTGATACAAATCAATCTTCTGTAGTATATTATTGACTTAGAAAAGTTGACTGACTGATCTCTTCATCTATATTAACAGTGGTTTAAGTTATTTATAGTGGTATTCACTTTTTAATCTTAAATCTTGACGGAGTCAAGTTGATTTCGGTGTCAATATCATTTATGTAATCAGCCATATTTTCAAAGTTCGATTGTAATGGTCTAATTCCAAAATCAAATTTAATTTCGTCAAAAACAATCCTTCAATTCCTCACTCTCCCTCCCTAATCATGGCCTTCTTCCAAAATAACAATCGTAATTCATCCATCTCGAAAAAAAAATTCATTTTATTGAATTAGATACGACAAAATAATCTATTTTTCTAGAATAAAAAGTTAACTTTTAAAACAAAATCATCAAGTCGGGGTTTTTGAGGCTGTAAAAGTGATTTGTAAAGATATTACTGTTTGTTTCATGATTTATTTATATTATAGATGAGTACATTCACGCCTATTCCAATAATCTGTAAACCACAATAGAGAAACTATTTTAGACAAACTCTAAATAACACACTCGGGTGAGAAAATCGAGATTTCATATCTAAGTTTGCCATATAAACAAAAAAAAGTCACATTTGTTTTAGCATTGAACCAATATTTACCGTTTATTTTTGAAAGCTGATTATTTATCAGATGACAATATCTCTACAAATATGGTCCTGGCTTAAAGAATGTAAAATGAGAATGAAAACATGGTTTTTCCACAAGCTGTAGAGAGCGAGTGAAGAATGACTTATCTCTTTCTTCTTTGAAGAAAACAATATTTTATTGTTATACCTTAGCCCAAAAAATCAAAATTAAGATCTGAAAATTACAAATCTTACACCTCCCTCCCCTCCCCCAACAAAAAAAAAGGTTACTAATTTATACCACAATTACTCTTTTTCTTTTTTTTCTCCCTTGATTACGGTTCATTTTAATGCATCTGTTCTCATTCATGTTAAACCAATCTGAATAAAACAATCACGATTGTTATGATCATCTATTCACCGCGATAAAATATGATCCACTTTTGATTCTATATATAAGACACAAACTTAAACAAAGTTCAGTTCTTTCTTTTAATAAAAAAAAAATCGTTCTTTAAATAAATGAGCGGAGGGAGCATTACAGTCAATTTCAGATTGTCACAACCGTTATCATTAATTATGCCAAAAACATATTAAAAAAGGGGAGAAAAACAAAAATGGATAAAAGTTCAGTTTTTTATTGAACTTTTTGAAGATGTAAATGATATTTGGTACTCACTTGGCATAGGTAAATCCCAAGGATCATATTTGTAGATATCAAGCTGCTTGATGAGCTCGATTTTGAGGGGTTTTCTCTCAACTTTTCTGCGGAGATAAAATCCAATAAGCTCTTCATCTGTTGGATGAAACCTGAAACCTGGAAGCATGCTTTCTTCTTCTTCTTCTCCTTCTTCCTTGTTTTCTTTGTCTATAACCCTAGCCATGGCAGCCTCCATGCTTGTTCTCTCCCAATATCTGAATATGTTGTTCTCAGGATATAAAACATGAGGCAAGCCATGACAGAACATTGAACAGGATTGCTTGATATTTATAAATAAATTTTACTAATATGACAGAATAGTCTCATTTGTGGCTTTCTTTTTTCTTTTCTTTTTTTCCTTTCTTAAGTGGTTAATTAGTGATGAGGACTTGAGGTCATCCATAATTGACTATGGTATGTGTCTAGAAGAGCATGGTTCACTCTGTCCCAAACTAATGATCTAGTTTATATTTTAATTTTAGTACAACTTGAACTAAAAATAAAAATTTAAATTGGACATTCATTTCAGGATAGAGAGTTTCAGATATTAAAGCTCATTTTCAGAAAGTATATGAAGATGATGATCATCAGCAGGAAGAAAGCTTAGAAGATCGTGACATCGATGATCAGATTATGGACACTATATTTGGAATTACATAGCTGTAAATAATTAGTTGTAAATAGTGAATATTGTAAATATTACAGTTGTACAAAATTAGATAGATAATTACTAGATTAGCCTTCTTTATGGTTTAAATAGGTTTAGTACAAATACTCATTTTGTACAGATACATTCATTACGTCCAATCATTTTTTTTTCAATTAATACAGACAGAATTAATTCAGAACCAAATCTAGGTTTTCCATTCCTTAACCGCCATGGCTATCTTGAGGAGTTTTCATGGTATCAGAGCCTTCGGGCTTTGATTCTGGAAACTTCCTCTGTAAATCTCTTCTCTAAAGCTTCCGCAAGCGTTCTATCGGTTTAGATTTTGAAGATTCTGCTCCATGATGGTGAACCGGGAAGATCGTTTGACAGAGGAGCAGCGTATTCAAGAAGCAAGCTTAACTCTACACGCTTCTGAGCATCCTGGTATGTTACTGGTTTCTACACGAGTCAATCAATGCGTAATGTTTTGAAATCTAAGCTCAAGATCGGTTTTATTGATGGACGACGTCCTGAGCCTGTACCGAATTCTTTGTTGCATTTTCGTGGGAAACAAGTTGATTCAACTGTAAAATCTTGGATCTTAGCTGCCATGTCTAGTGATCTAGTTGCTGGTTATTTGTATAATCTGAGCTGCAAACAATTATGGGATGATCTTGCTGAAAAGTATGGTACAACTAATAGCAATAAGTTGTATAAGATGCGTCAACAACGTAGTTCAATTCGTAAAGAAGACCGATCTTTAGTACAGTACTATAGTGCTTTAAAAGAAATCTGGGATGAATATGAACACTATAGACTATTGCCAGCTTGTACGCCTGAAATTTCTCGAATTTTACATGTCAGAGAAGATGAGGATAAGTTGATTGACTTCTTAATGGGGCTGAATAAGTGCTATGAGGCAATTAAGGATCAGATACTCTTAATTGATCCACCTCCTACTCTTAACAAGGCATATGCAATGGTGTCTAAAGCAGAGAAGGAAGCAACAGGAGTACTAATCTCACTAATTTCTGATAATTCTGCTTTTGTGGCTAAAACTGCTTGTGTTCTCAATTCTGTTGCTGGTGGAATAAACAATATGTCTTCAGGTTCCTCACATGTTGTTAGTGGTGATGTTTCTGGAAGTAACACAGCTTTAGTTGCAAAGTCATTTGCTAAGCCTGGTGGTGGTTATCATAATAATCAGTTTAATAAACAGCCTGGAAATAATAATTGGAAACAAAGAAGAGATGGAATTATTGATACTAGATGGAATTATTGATACAACATTTCCATTAGAAGTATTGGTAAAATTGCCATTTCCTCCTGAATGGTTCAAGCCAAAGACTCGTAGTAACTCTGGAGGAAATGGCAATTTTACCAATACTTCTAATGGAAATGTTGTTCCCAGAAACTTTGCTAATGCTACTGTTGAGGTTGACACACCCCTTGATATGTTTCATGCAAATTATAACTCTGTCTCAGATGTACAACTCATAGCCAAACAGATATCTAATCTGCAATAGGAGTTTAGCAAGTTGTTGAAAGGAAAAGGTCCACAAGGAGATCAGACTCAACAGTTTTCCAATTTTGCATTTATGCAAGACTTTGCAGGTAGCACAACTTACCCTAAGCTTTCTAATTCCTATACATTTGATGGTGATCCTGGATTTTGTGATAGTGGAGCTACAGGACACATGATTCATAATCTTGATTTGTTCACTTCTTCCAAACATGTTACTTCTAGAACCTCTGTAGGCTTACCTGATGGTTCAATACAGTTTGTTGAAAGAATTGGAGATATTCATTTAAGTGATAAGATCATATTACATGATGCCTTATTTGTACCCACATTTAAGTATTACTTGATTTCTGTCAGAAAACTTTCACAAACATCCAAAATTTACTTCTCTTTTCTTTCGGATCTGTGCATTTTACAGGACCTAGTGACTGATCAAGTCCTAGGAATTGGCACAATCAGCAAAGTTCTTTATGCCTTAACCAGCCTGTCTTTTGATCCTGCTGAAATGCAGAAGCAAATCCAAATTCATCTTCCAAGATTACTGTTACATTGTCATACAGATTTATCTTCAATTCCTAGTTCTCATTTCAGCAATAATGTAACTGCCTTGAATGATCAATGGCATTATAGACTAGGACATCCATCGTCTGGTGTAATGAAACATATTGTTGTATTCAATCCTGCTTTAATAACAAATGAATTTTCTTGTGATATTTGCCCTTTAGCTAAGCAACAAAGGCTTGGTTTTCCATCTAGTTCTATTCATACACATTCTATCTTTGAATTACTTCATGTGGATTTATGGGGGTCCTTATTCACACCCTACATTATCTAAAACTCATTGCTTTTTAACTATAGTGGATGACTATAGTAGAAGTACTTGGACTCAACTACTCAGACATAAAACACAAGTCTGTCAATTACTTGCTAATTTCTTTCAGCTGGTTAAAACTCAATTTTCAGTTCAAGTCAAAACCATTCGTTCTGACAATGGCACTAAATTTTTCAATCAAGATTGCCATAACCTGTTTTCTCAACTTGGTATCATCCATCAAAACTCTTGTGCCTACACTCCACAACAAAATGGAGTTGTAGAGAGGAAACACAAACATCTTCTTCAGGTTGCTAGATCATTAATGTTTCAGTCAGCCCTTCCAAAAAAATTTTGGGGGGAAGCCATTCTAGTAGCCACTTACCTCATAAACAGAATTCCTTCACCATTGCTAAAATGAAAAACTCCATATGAGATCTTATACTCTACACCACCTTCTCTTTCACACGTTAAGACTTTTGGCTGCCTTTGTTGTGTAACAAATGTCATACCTCGTAAGGATAAATTCTCACCAAGGGCATTTAAGGGTGTTTTTATTGGTTATCCAGCTGGTCAAAAGGCATACAAAGTTTATAGCCTTGATGATCATCAAGTTCATATTGCCAGGGATGTGATTTTCAAGGAGCATATCTTTCCTTATAAAGTTTCTTCTCCACCTAAATAGTCAATTCCTGTTCCATTGGTTCAAATTGATGATCTCAATGTCACATATCCTAATATTCTACCTTCAATTCACATTCAGAACATGTTAATCCACCTGTTTATTCTACTTCTACCGCACCTGTCATCGGAACCAGTAATAGGATCAAAAGAAAACCAGTAATAGGATGTCAAAACAGCTTCTGCTGTTTTTGATCATAGTTCTTTTTCAGCTTCTTCATCTGATTTAATCCCTTCTGCTAAATTCATACCTCCCACTACTTTTCCTTTCCTCCAATGTGTCTTTTCTTCATCTTCGTCCTTCCTATGTGTCTTTTCTTTCCACTATTTCCAAGGTCCAGGAACCATCTTCTTATGAACAGGCTAGTCAACTCCCTCAATGGGTTGAAGCTATGCAAAAGGAGCTGAATGCTTTGGAACTCAACCATACATGGGAATTAACCACTTTACCACCTCATAAGAAAGCCATCGGCTACAAATGGGTTTACAAGACCAAGTATCTTCCTGATGGCTCAGTTGATAAATGCAAGGCCAGATTAGTAGCCAAGGATTTCAATCAAATAGCTGGACAGGATTTTTATGACTCTCTCTCATGTGGCTAAGTTAGTTATTGTTAGAGTTGTTATTGCTCTTGCAGCTGCCAAGCAGTGGCCTTTACACCAGCTTGACATCAACAATGCCTTCCTCCATGGTTATTTGGATGAGGAAGTGTACATGCAAGTACCTCCTGGTTATTCCTCAGCTGAAAAAGGACAGGTTTGCCATCTTAAACGTTCTTTATATGGTTTAAAACAGGCGTCAAGACAGTGGAATCAAGAGCTTTCTAGATAGTTAACTTCTTTTGGTTTTATTCAATCTGCACATGATCATTGCTTGTTCTTAAAGCATTCTGGTTCAAACATCTTGATTCTCCTAGTGTATGTTGATGATGTCCTCTTTACAGGCTCATCCCTCTCTATGATTCATGATACTAAACAGTTTTTGGATGCTGCTTTTACTATCAAAGACATGGGCAGTGCCAAATATTTTCTTGGAGTTGAATTCACCAGATCTTCAGAAGGCATTTCCTTGAACCAAAGGAAATATGCTCTAGATATCATTGCCAGTGCTGGTCTTTTAGGCAGTAAAACAGCCTCTACACCATTGCCAAAGGGTCTCAATCTTCAAGATGATCAGAGCCCTTTGCTTGCTTCACCAGAACAGTATAGAAGATTAATTGGTCGATTGCTCTATCTTGGCTTTACTCGACCTGACTTAGCTCATTCTACTCAACAACTAAGTCAGTTTGTTCACTCTCCTCGAGATATCCATTGGCAGGCAGCTTTACATGTTGTTCATTATCTCAAAGGCACTCCTTCACTTGTACTTTTCTACTCAGCCTCAAGTGATCTTAGTCTTTCAGCATTTTATGATGTAGATTAGGGAAGTTGCACTGCTTCCAGGTTCTCTTTAACTGGTTTTTGTATCTTTCTTGGTTCTTGTTTCCTGGAAAACCAAGAAACAAACAACTGTTTCTCGATCAACTTGCGAAGCTGAATATCGCAGTATGGCCTCAACAGTTTGTGAACTTCAATGGCTGCATTACATCTTGACTGATCTCAGGATTCCTTCATCCCTTTCTATTCCTTTTGCCTGTGATAA